TTCTCTTCTCTTTTTTTCCCTTGCGCAGGTGCCATGCTAATCTTCTCTGTATCGTTCCAATTTTAACGGATGTCCCGAAGGACTCCTCTTCTTTTCTCTTCTCTCTTCACTTTTCTCTTTTCTTCTCTTCTCTTCTTTTCTTGTCTCATCTTGTCTTGTTGTGTCTCGTCGTGTCTTGTCATATCTCGTCTCATCGCTTTTCTTTTCTTCTCTTCACTTCTCTGCTCTGCTATTCTCTTCTCTTCTCTTCTCTTCTCTTCTCTCCCTTCTCTTCTCTTCTCCTCTCTTCTCCTCTCTTCTCTTCTCTTCTCTTCTCTTCTCTTCTCCTCTCTTCTCTTCTCTTCTCTTCTCTTCTCTTCTCTTCTCTTCTCTTCTCTTGTGTGTTCTGCTCTGGTTTCTTGAACTTCTTCATTTCCTGAGTTTTTGTTAAGGGGAACAGCCCTTGACATTGTTGGATTGAGTAGAGTCTTGGATCACAACTATTGATCAATAAAGGGGCATACACCACCCCAAACAGAAGGTAGGTATGTGATAAGAGAGGAACTGGGAAGGCGAGAGATGGTAGGCAGGAAAAGAAAGAGGGACAGGGAGAGGGAATGGGAAGCAGGAGTGTAAGAGAGGATCGCCCCATAGTGACGGACAGGCAGACAGCCAAACACATGAAAGGTGGGGAAGACAATGAGAGAGAGAGAACTCATCCCTGTTCGTAGATTACCTCCTTACTCTTCTCCTCCAACTCTGTAATTGCAGCAAGTTTGTCTTGTTCGGCCCTTCTCTTCTGCTCCTCCACCTGTCTTGAAAAGTGCATTGACAAATACAGGACACAGTCAGATAGAGCGATAGAGGGACAGATATAGCCGTAGATCATGACGATCCTTTTAAAAGTTACCCCAAGTCCATCACAAGCTCACAACATGGCAAGGAAAGCAGAGGCGAAATGATGAACGCAGAAGTGCCCATGATGTAAATGTAGCCTTCGATGCTAGAGACAGTTGGCGGAGAGCAGAGTGATTATTTCATGTCTTATAAACCTGTTTGAGGCAGATAATTAGACTTGTTTGCTGCAAAAAAAAAATACAAAACTGTTTACTATCACCTGTCAAGAACAACCTCATTCTTCCCATTACTAAATGGAATACAAGGGTTGGACATGGATGTGCACATTCCGACAATGCGGCACATGGTGTGACGGCAAGAACATTGAAATGTTCACAAACATTGACTACACGGATAGAGATACCAACATCAACATCCCATGAGACCGTCATGATGGATATCCGTGGGAAAAAAGGGAAAAAAAGAAAAAAAAACAGGGGTGAAGGACAGAAATAGCCCCTCTATATATCATCAAACAGAGCTGCCCAGTAAACCGGAGGCAGAGAGGGAGAAGAGGACAACAAATGAGGGGCTGTGACATACTGTTTCGTATATGTTCAAAAGGACAAAGGTAGCCTGGTCAGCGTCCACAAGGCCATCAGGACATCCATGTGCTGATCATCACCTTTGAGCATCTGCACATCCAGGTGCACTTTGACAGGGCTAGTTGTGCAGGGTGTTTGCCAAAAAAGGGATCCAGTTTCACCTCGTCAGATGCCAGGCAATTCCAACAGAGACCTGGAGGGACACTCTCTCTCTCTCTCTCTCTCTCTCTCTCTCTCTCTCTCTCTCTCTCTCTCTCTCTCTCTCTCTCTCTCTCTCTCT